GGTGGGGATAACGTCTGGACAATAATTGTCTAGAACAAGCCAGACGATAATCGAGAGGAGTCTGTAATATTAATAAATATGTGGCACATGAAGATTATATCTTTTAATATTTATGCCTTTTTTGAACTAATAGATTTTAATTCGAAAAATTGGAAAAATGTAATTAATTATATTAAAAACAAAAAAATACAGATTTCAGCAGTGAAGGAACAATATTATGTAAATGAACATTTATAAGCACTGGCGCAAAACTTGTTTGAATACGAAAGAAGAAATTGAAAAAAATCAACATTTAATTATTTGCATATTTTAGTAAGTTAATTTACTCGTTTTTATATGTAATATTCATTCATTGGTATGTGTTCATTTATCCATGTATACATCCTACTATCGGTCAAGAGTATAGGAGTGTATTCATTGGTTAGTTATAAGGCAACTACAGTTCATGATCGACGGAACGCTGTTACATGCGAGGCGCGCGCGTGTAAATGGGTAATTACGACTACTATGCCTTTGGTAGAATAATACAATACAAAAACGCAGGAATCGAATTAATGTGAATTTTGGTAACGTGATGCGTCTGTTTAGTTACAGAGCAAACACGCGTGCGACTCGCTAATGTAAATTTTGGTAGAATTTACCCGGAACAGCAACGAACAAATATCCCCAACTAACTGTGAACGATAAAATCTAGAACACAATCAATTAAGGTTTTTATTTTTGTTTTGGGTTCGTCGATACTTTAGTCCCATACGGGGCCTTTCACCAGATCGCCTTGTGTGGAAATTAGGGAAGATAAATACTAGGTAATATAAAAGAAAGTAAATGGGTTGAATTTCGTAACAGAGAATTATATACATATATTGAATTATAATAGGAACTTACATACATTAACTTTGGTAAAAAGATATAATAATAATAGTATAAAATTTTAAATGTGTACAACTCCATAGCTCAGGATATAAACGATAGAACCAACATACAAAAATAATGAAATATACGAATATAATGAGAAGAAGAAATATTTAACAGAGGTTATCGCCAAAAGAATACTATTACGCACAGTTGCTCGGCACATATACGGAACTGTTTGAATTTTAGATTTCAAAGACAACCAAATACGCGTATACAAATTGTAAAATACAAATAATTTCCAGTAAGGGAAACCCCACAGTTGTAACTCAACTACTGGAATTTACCCGTCTTTGGTATTTATCGTGAATTGATCTGGAAGAGTAAGGGAAACGACTCGCCTAGATTTTAACAGTGTTGGACACGATTTTCAAACAAAATTTCCTTTTTGCGAAATTCCTGGAATTTCCTCCTTTCCTTTTGGTATCTTATTTCTGGTTGTTATCAAAAGCGAACCTAATGAGGAAGAACACACACGCACTTCGATTAATTGAATTTAAGTACGGAATTTATATTGAATTGAGTAGAGTCACGAAATAGAACTGTTAGAACTAATAATAATTGCTAACACTAAGTAATGAACTAAAGAAAAACAAAGAGAATAAAATATTTAAACAATGAAATGAATTTTCGTGAGTTTATGAGTCCTTTTGTCTGGTTTTTCTTCGCTCTTAGCTAGCGCAAACAAAACTCTATCTCAATTAATACCTCACGGTCTCTTCGACACGCACCTCGCGATTGTACATCGAAAAAGTGTCGCAGCGTTGTACCCTCGGAGGAGACCACAGCGGGCCTAGTCCGAATTTGTTTACACTGCATTACTGTGGTGCCTGACGAATCAGGCTGCGAGATTAGTGCGTTGAGGACCGTGATTCGTTAACTGAACGTGTGATAGGAGCGTGTATATCCTTCCTCCGCTAATTCTATCTTTCTTTCTTTTACTTCTCCGAATTAATTCCTTTACTCTTTCAGTCACAGCTATGGGAATATTTTCTACGTTTTGATATGCTAACTGTACGCCGAATTTTGATAAAGTTGTAGACGGAATGTTCTTAATTTACCTGACGCCAATAGAGAGAAAGGCATAACTTCCACAATTAATTAAATGGTATATGAACATGACCATTATCCGATGGGACAGATAGTAAAAGTTAAAATCAGATAAGCCTTTCCTCTTACATACGAAATTCATATATGTATAGTAGGTAATGGGCTGACCGATGTGTAGCAACGGAGTTCGATATATGATTTAGAATTTGAACTCAAACTACCAGTTCTATAATAATTTAGATTATAATTTTGAATTTAACTGCGAACGCAAAGAAGAAAGTTCGAGATGCTCGATATTTTACCGGACCGGACGCCAGAGGTTTACATTCGGCAGTTCGGTGAAGTAAATATCCACCTCGCGTTACAATCAGGCGGTCTGAACGTGGGACCACGTTGACTCCAAGGAAAAGAATGCGTTATATACATATACAAGCTTATTTGCGTCGCCAATGAGAAAAACTATCTTATAAACATCAACGACCGTACTGCGTTCGATTAGGGAGCTCCCACAATGCTATGCATTATCGTAACGCATCACAGCCGAAGTAAAAGAAACACAAAAAAAAACAGAATTTTGTTCGGAACGTAACAACGCTAACTCATTATTCTGTTATCATTTAATAGATGTTACGGAATCAGTACAAATCATTTCCAATTAATTTTAGGCTAAACTTTTAGCACATTACTTTTGTTAAATCTTTGTGGATTAATATTTTTCTCATTCTTGAATTATCAGACCTGGTACCACATTTTTGACTAGTGTAATATATGCGAAAAGTGTGTAGAAAATCTGTTTACGTATCGACGAAATATTAATCATTTTATTGTTTTATTTATTATAATTTAAATATTTCAGTATACTATAATAGTTTTTTTTAAATTAAAAATTTATTTACACGCCGAAAAAGAACGTTCTCTGTCACATGATCTTGTAGGGGCATGTTTAAATTTTCATCAATGATGTGCTGGAACCCTTGGAATATTAAAATTAACGTTCGTTGCGATACAGCTTTAATTTTATATGTAACTTTTTGTCCGCAATCACCTGGTATATTTTTAAAAATTTCTATAATAATGCCTGTCCAGGTCCCATTAAATTACCTACTGTCTGTAAAAAGTTTCATTTGCAAAAACAGCCGTCTACTTATAACATTGAGTCAGACTCGTGGTAACAATTTCAAAATGGATTTAGGGGAGTACTCTATTTAGTGTAACTTGCCGTTTTTCAAAGCTATCTTCAGGAATTTATTTAACGATAGCTATAACTTTATACTGTCTATTGTCTATCCTTTCGCCTTGCACATTAAGATATATTATAAGTAATATTTAGAATATTTTGAGCTTTTTTTATCGCATATGTACATACATATAATCGGTGGCGCAACCTTTTTCGAAAAAATGTTTGTCCGTCGGATAATGGTGTGGGGATTGCTGTAACCGTCCAAAAGTAACGTAAAGTAATTCACAATTTACATATAACATAAAAATTCATGTCCAGTGTCTTATTATGTATAATCATAATACATAAATACAATTAAATTTCATCGAAGTCTTTATTTTACTACAGTTTGCATGTGAAAATTTGTTAAAAATGCATAAAAATCCGCAGTCTAGATATAACTATGCTATTCGAAGCGTTATTTTAAACATCGTTCAACTCAAAGAAAAATACGCGTAATCAGAAACCAGTAAATTTCAAGCATGCACACCGTGAATCTACTTGGGTAATGTGTCGTAACATCGTGGCCGGTGATAAAACAACACACTTGAGCCGCCGTTCACACACGGCCTCCGATACTCGACGTATGTACTTAATCGGTGCATTGAGCTACACTCGAGTGCCACTCGAAAATCATCGACATACCTATCCGTGGCCTGAACCTTCCTATCGGTTGTTCCCATGCACGGACGATAGAACTTTCACGCTGGTTTTGCTCGTCTGACGCGTGCAGACCTATACTACTTAAGGCGGCGCGCAAACGTAATCTACGAGAAAAATGTTAACCATGTAACGAGTTGTTGCTGGACTGTAGATTATCATGCGCAGAAACGGGGGAATTATAATACAAGAAGAATTTTAACAAGATCGAACGGAATTCTTATGTTAGTTTTATCTTAGGAAATTACTTGATAGAGGAATGATTTATTTTTTCTTGGTAAACATGTGAATTTGCACAAACATTCTTATTTTAATTGGTAGATTTCTTATTGATACTTTATACTTTTGTATAGTTTTGGTAATGGAACTTTGTTGTTATAGGAACTCCAGAATTTGGAAATCATTTTTTGAAATTGTCATTTATTCTCCGAATAACACTTTTTATTGTCCTTTATTTTACCGAATGATTTTTCAAGAGTACTTTTTATCAGAAACTGGACTGAACTTTCATGGAATTTAGTCACAAATCGAATTTGAATTTTTAATAATCTTCGATTACCTGTAATTACAAAAAATGTATGCAATAGATGCAAACTTGCAGGTTCCAATAGATTTCATAAATTCATTTTCGACTAACAGATAATTGAATGAAATAATTTTAATGAACACGATGGAATTTTTTCTTTAAGTTTGAAAATACTGATGTGTCACTAGATAGGAAGATATGGACTTGTTGGTTAATTTTAATAAAAAAGATCAAATGTTCTCTTCAAGTTCGAAAAACTTACAAAGTTAAATAGTTTTTTAAACTTAAATAGTTTCAAGTTTGAAATATTTTAAATTTGAAAAATTTCATCAATTTTAATTTAAAAACCCATGAAAACATGTTTGGTTACCTAATGTTAAAGTACTGACGGATCTATAAAACTATAAATTCATTAGGTCAGAAATTACTTGATAAATGTAGGCAGGATCACTCTTCAGATAAAAGGTCGAGATATACCGACGATCAAGTGTATTGAATAAGTAATTTAGTAGGGATTGGGGAAAGTTGAATTAGTTTCCCTGATAAAGATGGCCAAGTGAAGTGCTTCGTGCTGTTAGTAAATTGACATCAACTATGAATTCTTTTAATGGCACACCTTTCTATTTGTTCCAGAATGGTGAGAGGCTGTTCATCGGTGCGCCAGGAAGTTGGTACTGGCAAGGTAAGATTGCTTCCCGATTCGCCGTTTCCGAAGTTCGATCTATGTCGCCGTTTCACAATGAGAATTACCTTAAAAAAGAGACATTTTCTCTTATGTCGCTTGTAAATATGTATATCGGCTCGATTTCTGGTGAATTGAACATTAGATATTGGAAATCGAATTTTGTTATAAATAGACACCGATATTTATTTAAGGAAAAATTTACAAAACTTACGATTAATGCATTTAGAATTTCTACGAGTTCTGCAATGTCTTTCAAGGAATTTTTATTGTCACTGGGATTAGTAATTATGTACGTGAAAATTTAGATAAATCAATTAATTTATTGGTATATAGATTGTACTTGTATTTTAAATGAGAATTTGATTGGTACTTTTACATGTCGGTTTTACTTTCTGATGAATTCGTACTACAATTTTCTCATGATAATTCGTTCTGATAACAGTACGGTTCATTGACAAGCATTGTATGTAGGATTCAAGCGTTCCACTTGAAATAACTTTTTCATTTTCTAACAATAGAAGAGAGAATTTTTTTCGTTTAATGAGTTATGCTAATTACGCATAAGCAATTGCATATAAACCCTTTTTATAAACGTTCTATGAACTTAACATTTTTTAGCTTTCCGGGACATTTTGATTCGTTAACTATCCAATTAGAATTTTATGGAATAGAATTCTTTAAAAAGTAAATCCCTCATTTCTGGTTAAATTTAATTGATAAGCTAAAATTTATCAAAGAAGCTATCTTTTGAGCGTTGTTGAATATACCCTATCTTCATTACATTTGTTATATTTAATGTTCTATTAAAAAGAGGCAAAAGTTACTTTAAATGAAACGTTTAATAGACTTGTACATAGAAACGACAAAATACATTAATTATCGACACTGTACACAGTGACATTAATTACTGTATTACAATAACATTAAAAGTTGAAATTTTCATGTTCACATGTTAGTAAAAATTTCTACTATTAAGTGTTAAGAATGATAGAAATTGACAAGCCAGTTGTAACAATAATTGGATCTCGGAGGCAAAAATCTGAATGGCACTATTGCTGGCCTATGAGCGCCAGGGGTTAACGCTAATTAGAATTGCCGCACAAATAATCAAAATTACAATTAGAGATTTCGAAATTCTGCCCAAAAAATAATCGGCTTACTCTAAATCTCAAACGAATCGCATCGGGTCTATCCCCTCCACTAATTGAACAGTATAAAGTCACTTCTCTACTAATAAATTATACGGGAGTTCGAGCTTTGGTAACGCCTGGGCGATGGAACAAGAAGACTGCGACTGCCCGAGGCTCTGTGGTTTATTTCGAATGATCTTAGAGGTGACTTTCGTTAAACAATTTCCAGGTCAGATATACTCGATCAGCACCGCTATGAGGTTGAAGTTCGTAGCGACGATGTTGTTCACACCCGAAGCAGAAGCATCAGGTACCGCGTATTTGCTGGCGTTCATGATCAAACGATGCCAATCGACGCCGTCGTCTAAAATAGACCCTTTAAAACCTCTAATTAACTGCCATTCTCTTAACGACGGCCTTCATTAACAAATGTTGCTTGATGCTGAAAATACATACGACCTTCTTTTCATCGACGTTCATGAAAGATGAGGTTCTGAAGGAGACTGATCTATAATGCTTGCGTGAAATTGGTTTTATCATTACGTTTTCCTATGACGTAATTTATATTACCTATGTTCTATTATTTTCAAACTGGTACTTGATTTGGTATTTAATAAATAGACTGTCGATCTTTATGCAAATATCATTATTTAAGGATTAATTTACAGATACAAGAATCGAAACGAAATTGTGTTACTGTGTTACAAAACCCTATTAGATTTAAAATTAAATAAAAGTATTAAACTTCTGTTAATATTGAATCATAAACATTCAGGTGTGCTAAAATTGCATAAAATCCACAGTCTATTACAAGGAATATTTTCTTGGCGAAACTATAGTACTTTCATTGACCATTAATTTGTTCTCGAGTTACTCCATTGCGACAGCATATTGTGATCATTGATACTTCATGAAATTATGTATAAAAATGGTGTAAACACGTATTGACATTAGTATCATGTATTTTGGTATTTGTTACTGATAATTTACATGTAAGTTTGTTAATATTCGATATAAACAACGTCAGAAAATCAAATCGTTTGTAGGAAATACGAGTATATGAAAAATTCGAAAATTTCTGGACCATAAAACAAATTACATTAATGTTGTTAGTAATGATGATACTTTTTAACTTTAACGTTTGTAATATATATACGATTGTTTTTAAAAATATTATTCAATGGAAAAGTAAAAGTAATGAAAGTCCATAAAATCTTACTGTAAAATTAATTTCCATTTTAAAAGTAAGAATACTTTATTATTCTTGTACTTGTTTATATCGTCTGCTATGCAAGAAGTCATTTTCCATGAAATTTTTTCGATTTAGTGTAACCCCTAAAATTAAATTCTACCGATTGTATAAGGGTTCAAAAATGCACTCAAATTCTACATTTATGACAAACGCATTCATAAATTGTATGGCAGATTTTATTATCTGCATTATATAATTAATATATTATTATTTAATTCTTGGAAATTAATCTCTAGAAATGTGAGTTTCCAAAATGTCCATAATCTACCTTAGATACAGCGAAGTTATCCAAAACGAAGTATGTACCAGCATAAACTCATTCATTCACGAGTAATATCGATCAGAAAATCTTTCCAGAATATCAATGAACGTCGATGGTGTTCGAACCTCGTTCAACGAAATACCAATAATAATCTCCGTGGCGTTTACACTTGCTTGGCGGTGCCCTCCCAATTAATTCCCATTAATTACTCGGTCATCTGGCTTCTTTCATTTTTGTTTCACCGCGATTAACACGACGAGCCTGTGATTAATAATCTCGATTCTCGATCGAACTGTCACGTTCAAGAGTTACCGCATATAAACGAAGAAGGACAGCTCGTTGTTGAAGAACAAATTTCTTCTAATGCTTTGACAATTTGAGGCCTCGTCACACGCCTCTGTGCCCCTTCTCCCCACAAACTTAGTGATTAATATCCGATTTGACGATTAATAAACCGTGTGCTATGATTATTTTATTAATTACTGCCAGGTGAGTCGATGGTGGCGACGTTTAACAGGTGCAGGCCATGCTTCTTACAGCTTCGCGTGTCAGCCAGAGCCCGCAGTAATACGGAAGCCCAGCTATTTAATGTCTCTAATTGACCCTAAGAGTCTTATTTGATCGCTGCTACTTAGTTGACAGTATGCCTGACGATTGCGAACGGTGCATTACCGCCGTCGTTATCCATAAAATTGTGCTTAGATGCTAGATTAATAATAATAATGTTAAACAGCTTACGATTTACCAGCGTGAACTTTCCAAACGTTTTCGGACTGCGATTTTCTATTTTTAGTTTTCTTTTTCTGTAGAGATGACTGATTTGGGTATTGTCCGCTGTAGCGTATGGAGCGTCCTAGCTTTGGTTTAAAACACAAATATGTCTTGTTTACAGAGAAATTTTAGGTATTTAAATATTTAGTTATATGAAAATGGGGAATTATCCTTTGTAGGTACAAGTGATAACTTTTGTATAACTGGAAGGGTGGAATTTCAGTTTGCGGACTGGGAAGACGATAAAAATGAATTTAACTCTCGAATGGCCAGTGTGAAGTTCATTGGGTTCTGTAAACTATTTTGTATTTATAGAATATCCAATCCTTTAAAATTCAGTACAGTGAAAAGATTCAGAAATTTTATTTGATATCTTTTTACTCCAACCCTTAACAAGATGAATAAATTTTTCTTTGGGTCCAGTTTCAAGAAATTAGTCTACAAAATTCTATATTTGCATCAACATACACAATCTATTGATAAATGTCGTAATCCTTATGGAAGGAACTGTACGTAGTTACCACATATTGAAATGTAAGTATAAAAAATTGAAAGAAGTCTTTAAGAAATTAGAGCAAAAGAATACGACAAGCTCAGTTTTATAGGAATTCAAAAAAACGTATTTCTTGTGGACTTGATTATAGACTTCGCACCTACGAATTAACTATCTTATAATTACTTAAGTATTGAGAATATGAGTTAATTTTAACTGAAAACGATTTCTTAAATAATCTATAAAAGTTTTTTGCATTCCTTCTATAAGGAAATACTTATTTTGACTAAATTCTTGTCTCATGTTACATGGGAATTCTTTGTTTCAATAATATAAATAATCATTATTGTAAGCCTTGAAAACTAAATAAGAACTAAATCACAAGATACTTTTGAATATTTGCAATTTTAAAGTAATTTATATAGTCATTTTTTCAATGGACATTTTTATATTGACCAACAATTTATTTCTCTAACAATAAGAACAGAGGATTCCAGCCAACTGGAATATGAGTCACCATTGGTCATAATGGTTTGCAATGGTAGATAATATCAGTCGATCACCAGTCACCGTCAGATTTTTTGCTTGCAGACATAGTTTCGGCACAGATCTGAGATTCATCAATGTCTAGCCTTTGAGACATTGGTCATCGGTTGTCGTGCAGGATCTATTTATCATCGTGTCGCTAGCCAATCAAAGAATTGTTCGGTTGAAGTGACTTTGAGAGAGAAAGAGAGATAGAAACCACCCACCTCGTTCCAGTAATTCTTTTATTTCCATAAATATACTTTTTGCAATGATAACTATCGTAGCATTTATCCCCAATGTACATTACCAGCCAAAAGCTTCTGATCAGTGATCATTTTTCACTACAATCACGATTCTATGACGAATTTTCTGCCAGTTCTAATGCAGTATTTTTATTTTAGATGATTAGGATTTAATTAGTTTATAAAATTCAATTTTAGGTAATTAGTGGAACTAAATTAATGCGTATAATTACCTGCCGTTAGTTAGATATCATTGTTTAAAGTGGAAGCCATTATTTTCCTTCAGTCATATTGTAAGTGTATGAATAATCATTCTATAAGAAGTGAAATAATTTGTCTGAGGCGAATTAATCTAGAGGAGGACACTTCACACGCTACAACTTATTTTTTCAACATTACACAGGAATACAAAATCATGATACATGGTGTAATAGTGTAAATGTAAATTTTATGGACTGATTGAATTCACGAATAATGTGAAAACAGTTTTCATATTTATCTTTCGACGATCTAACAGTTATAAAGGTACTCAATTTTACAATATTGGGTTGTTGAAGAAAGAAATGTTGTTCTTGAACTGCAGAGTTTGAACGAGTATGACTTATTTGGAAACAAATATTTTTAATCGAAATAAGATCCATTTGAATTAACATACCCTTACCAATAAGTTACAAGGTTTCTGGTCCCATGTTTAACGACTGTAAGATGGCTGAAATAAAGTGAATTAGAAAACGATATTTCATATGTTAAAGTGTCTATTGTGGTTTATAAAAATGCAGTTAATAATTCTTTTTCAATGAGTTCCATCAGTCCATACACTCTACACTTTAAACTCAACACCTCCAATTCTACCACACTCTATACACCGAGAAGACCATTAAAAGTTACCATCTCAAATACCTCTGGACGTACAGGAACAAGAGAAAAATTTGCCAAATGAAATTAACCTATCACAAAAGAAGTATATAAATAACGACACTATTGCAAGAACAACTATCAATCGACAAATTTTTCTCTCACCCCCACAGTTCCTACAATATTTAAGATCATGGGCATAGCCAGATTATCAGTCAGGGGGTGGGGGAAAAATTGATCTCAAGGTAAATGTCATAATGTTACTTTAAATAGATTTTAGATTTATTTTTCCATACAAAATATTAGTTAATATAATATTTTTCTCCTCTTGGGGGGGGGGGACGGTGGGGGCAAAATCAACTCTTCCTCTAATGTAAGGCAAAGGCTAGTTTCTTTCCACTGGGGTAAAATCAAACTCAAACCCGGGTTATGTCCATGTTTAAGATGGTAATTTTTATTCAATTCACCCTGCAGTTCACAATCCCCACAGTCATTCGTGTTTTTGTGTTTGCCGTTGCAGTTTCGAGTTGTGATTTTTTAAACACCTTTGATATCGTAGTAAATAACGAAAACGTGTTTGGGAAACTACATGTCTATGTGTCGATTGGTTGCTGTGTTGACTTCGTCGATTTCCTCAATACCCGCGTTTCCCTTTACAGGCCAAGCGTTTTCACAGTCGTTGAACAGCCGGACAAGAATAATGTTCACCAAGGAAGGTCCGGCGAAGGAGGACGATAGCTACATGGGTTATTCCGTCACGACCGGGGATTTTATTGGAAACGGCGACAGCGGCACCGCGGTCGGCGTGCCTCGTGGCTCCGATCTGCTCGGCAAAGTATGCTCATGAAATATTAACACGTAATCGCGACGAAAAGTACGCACGTTTGAAAATTAAATTCCTCCAGTGAAAGCGACCCGTCGCCACAGTAGTCCAGAACGCCGATTTAGCAGTTCAGAAGCTTTAATTGGGTGTAAAAATAGGAATATCAAAACCAAACTTGGTAAGCATGTATTTGATGTTCCTCTTTCTTAAAAAAAGAAATAATTAATAAGTAATATTTGTTAATAATAACTTCTTTATAAACAAAATAAAAAAAATATTTTTTACGGATTTATCATTGTCAATTACAAATTCTCTTATATTATTCTCGAAAATTAATGGACTTCTTTATCAAAATTTTTCTTCTGGATAACGAAATTGCGGATATTAAACAATCAGGGAATGCTAGTAATGTATGGAACAAATCAGTAATTGTTTTAGTTCGGGACAATTTTTTATAAATTTGTATGAACATTAGATGTATTCACCGTGTTCCAGATAGCTTTAAAATTCGAAATTATGTTGAAAAAAAAAGTTTATTTGCAAAGGTTTTGCAGAATTGAGTTTTATTTAACTGTTACTTTAAATCTTGTTTATTTAATTACGATTAGTTCCAAGTGCGCCATTTTGCGCCTAAACAATAATATTTTTGTTTTAAGTTCTATCAGCCTAGCAAGTAATACATACTGAAGTGACAATCACCGATTGTCATGAAAGAAAGAAATAATAGTAAATAATAATAAAAATACAAAATTAGTACATAATATTTATTCAATACTAATTTTCTATAAAGAGAAATACAAAATTAATTTTCTTTATATGATTTTATTGTAATATTAATTTTAATATAAAAAACAAAATTAATTTGTTTCATATATTATGTATATCATCTGATCCTTTAATATCTTCAATTTCCTCAAATTTTCATAAAAATCGATTAACATTCCAAAATGATGTAAAAGAACTGATAGACAACGATCACTCATACGAAGAAAATTAATTTTGTATTCCTCTTTATAGAAAATTAGTATTGAATAAATATTATATACTAATTTTGTATTTTTATTATTATTTACTATTATTTCTTTCTTTCATGACAATCGGTGATTTTACTTCAGTATCTATTACTTGCTAGGCTGAAAGAACTTAAACAAAAAATATTATTGTTTAGACGCAAAATAGCGCACTTCGAACTAATCGTAATTCAATAAATAAGAGTTAAAGTAACAATTAAATAAAAAATCAAGTCCAGCAATAGCCGGCATCAATAGTTAATTACCGCTAAACCTCAATTCTGCAAAACCTTTGCAAATAAACTTTTTTTTTTCAACATAATTTCGAATTTTAAAGCTATCTGGAACACGGTGAATACGTCTAATCTTCATACAAATTTATAAAAGATTGTCCTGAACTAAAACAATTATTGATTTGTTCCATACATTACTAGCATTCCCTGATTGTTTAATATCCGAAATTTCGTTATCCAGAAGAAAAATTTTGGTTAAGAAGTCCATTAATTTTCGAGAATAATATACGAGAACTTGTAATTGACAATGATAAATCCGTAAACAAATTTTTTTTTTATTTTGTTTATAAAAAAGTTATTATTAACAAACATTACTTATTAATTTTTTATTTTTTTAAGAAAGAGGAACATTAAATACATGCTTACTAAGTTTGGTTTTGATATTCCTATTTTTACACCCAATTTAAGCTTCTGAACTGCTAAATCGGTGTTCTGGACCACTGTGCGTGTCGCGCTGAAACTTATTGCTTTCTCGAGGAAACGATTCTGACATAACGATGTCAATCCTTTAGTAGATTTGAAAATTTGATTCTAGTAAGACGTAAATGGAAATTTGCATGAACATCTAAAATCTAGCGATAAGAAATATTGCGAAAAGTGAACACTTTTTGGAATTTTAATATTACTTTCATGTCTGATCGTAGGTCATCCTTTTTACTTCGAACATGACGAATCCTCGTAATATTACGGGCGAGCAAATGGGAGCTTATTTCGGTTATGCTATCGCTTCCGGTGATATTGATGGCGATGGCTTAGACGATCTCATAGTTGGCGCGCCTATGTACACCGTGCCAGATAACCCGGAAATGACCATCGAGACCGGAAGGGTGTACGTGATCTATCAAGGCGCCGGACCTGAAAAATTCCGCAAAGTCGACTCTAGGTATTTCACAGTTCCTATTCAGACGACTCTTAAACAGAACTTTTTTCACATTGTTAAATGACGGAATATTATTCACATGTTTTAGTCTTTATTTTTTGATATATTCAAATCATTATGAAACTATAAATGCTCGTGCATGAAATATTAATATTTAAAAACAATATAAAGGTATTGAGTATTATATAAAACTTATCAGACAACGTAAGATAAAATACAGTAGATCCTGGATGAGAGTTCGAAGGTTCCTCAGCACTTAACATTAAATATTTTGTAAACTAATGTCCATATGCGGCTGAAACAAATATCATTGGCTTCAGAATTCCAAGCCCTATCACACTGTCCTAAACCTCATTAAAAAGTCAGCGTTACATTTTGGGACCTCTTCTTATCAGTGTCGGGGAACCTTCGAACACTTATCGAGGATTTACTGTACACGTTTTCCATTGAAATACGTGTTGCATTCATGTTATGTTCATTAGATAACTATCATACTGACTTTGAAGATGATTTTTCTAAGACACTTTTAGCTGCCATCTTTTCGTCGAATATTATCATCAGTAAATACCATTTTTTAGGAGAAATTTAAATTGCACCTTTATGAAATTTATTTATCAATTTAACTTAAATGTCCGTCGTTTAAAGCACGTGGAAAAAATGACCAAACATACAATTAGAATTTAGAGATCGATTCTCTACATTACTTAACTTTAATATTTAACATAATTAATTCTATTTTTATGTCAGATAGTACCGTAAGTTGGGCTAACTTTGATTCAGTCAGGGTAATTTTGTCCCAATGTCAGAAAATGATCGTTTTCGATTTTGCAGCTTTGCAAATTATTAAATGAAATTGATTTTTACGTGAAAAGGTATTTCACAGAAAAATACCTGCAACTCGAAAATGATTGTTTTCTGACTTTGGGACACAGTTACCCCTGACTGAATAAAAGTTACCCCAACTTACAGTGCTTCGAAACGAGTACACTCTGTAAGTTTGCAACAAAACCAGGAGCTACGTTAATAATTCCCAGTCATGAAAGTACCTTCAATCGTACCTATCAGTAAAATCGGTCATTTCACGTGCAACGACCTAATATGATCTTAGATGTACAAATGAATTCATGGCCCCGACAATTAACTATTGACTCAAAACCGCCTTCATTTTTTTCGAGAGACGATTCGTCAGCTCCCTAAGAAATGGTGTAAATATTAGGGGTGTGCGAGTACTCGAATTATTCGAGCACTCGAATTTCGATTTAAATAATGATCGGTCGGTCGAGCCGAGTCGAGTGTTTGAATTTTCCGAGCTAATTCAAATCGACGAACTGTTCGACAAAAATACGGGCTACTTGAAAAACTCAAACGGCTCGAATATTCGAGCGCTCGTAATTTTCGAATTGCTCGAGTTACTCGAATATTTCTATATTTACTATCAAATACTAATATAACTGTAATAATGAAAAATGTAAGATTCTAATTTAATTTTTCTGCTTTATTTTTATTTCATGAAATGCTTTTTTTCCTTACAGTTAGATTAATATTTGATAGGAAATAGATAAATATCCGATTAACTCGAGCAATTCGAATATTGTCGAGTAACACGAAAGTCAAAGATCTGTTCGAATGTATTCGAGTAATTCAATTCGAATATTCATCTTCAAGTAAATCGAAGTCGTACGAGCGCTCGAATATTCGAGCCGTTTGAGTTTTTCAAGTAACTTGCATTTTTTTCAGACAGTTCGTTGATTTGACGTACTCGGAAAATTCAAACACTCGACTCGATTCGAGTAATTGAACCGAATTCAGCTCAGCTTGTAAATTACGAGTATTCGCACACCCCTAGTAAATATACAGAAAATGACGTTGAATATTTTCAAAGTTGGTTTTCTGTAAATAAACAACAAATCTACGAAAATAAGGTCACGAACTAATTTCTACACCTAATAACATCATCTAAAATGGTCCTAAGGGTGTCACCCAGATCGTTGAACTCAACCGTGATAATTGCTTATCGTTATCCAGAGACGGGGAGAGCAACCGCGGTCGATTCGGTTTGTCCCTGGCCTCACTGGGGGACATCGACCGTGACGGTTATGGTGACTTCGTCGTGGGTGCTCCATACGGTGGTCTTCATGGTCGTGGTGCCGTCTACATCTATCACGGATCCTCCGCTGGTGTCCTGGAGAAGTATTCCCAGGTGATCTACGCCGAAAACCTGGACGTTCCCGTGGAGACTTTTGGATTTTCGGTCGGTGGTGGCCTTGACCTTGATGGGAACCATTATCCTGATTTGATGGTCGGCGCCTACGAGTCTGGCACCGCGGTCTTCTTCAGATCCCGACCAGTCATCAAAATGGACTCGTACGTGACGTTCGATCAGGAGTCGAAACTGATCTCGTTGGACGATCGGAACTGCACGCTCTCGGATGGTAGCAGGGTCACCTGCTTCCCGTTGAGGGCTTGCTTCAAGTACACCGGGGAAGGGGTCTTCTCGAAGCACAACTTCAATATCCAGTATGTGAACCGCTCGATCACCGTGGATCGAGATCGTCAGTTCTGTCGCACGGTTCAGGTTAGGATGAATTTTTTTACTCTTTGGACGATAAAAATTTGAATGGTTTCACGTGATCGGTGTGGTGCATAATTTCATTTTAGTAGGGTTGAAAGTATGTAGAGGTTGTCACATATAACTGGCTACAACTTTATTGTAAAATGGACGAAGATAAAACCTAGGTGCTCCAGATATTTGTATTTCTTTTGTGAATTTTTGTGTACCGTTTTAGTTACTATGTGTAATTTTATTCTTTTCTTTAAATGCAGCCACGAAATGTTTTTTTAGATTAATTCATTGCTTGGGTTTCTCTGTACACAGAATGGGTCACCTGATATCATCTTGCCTTACGTCAATATTATTATCTGTAGATAATAAGGGATTGAAGTAAAGATGTATGGTTTCAGGAGGCTTCCCATACAACCATGCAATTTTACTTTAATCCATTTTTGTCCACTGACAGTAATATTGACGTATACCAAGATTGTAATATAAGGTGACCCAATTTGTATAATAGTTTTTGGGTAAGATGTTTGAGAAACAAGCAATCTGCGAGAGCTTTCATGTTCCTTAACATTGACAAAAACGTCAGAAAGCTTGAACAGGTCATATACATATGTAAATAGGAAAGTTCTTAAAATAGTATATCTATTATAATTATTAGTAGTTTGTGGATTTTGGGCAATTACAGCATTTACTTAAAACTCATTGCAGCGATTTGTTTTATAAAATTGGATATAATTTTTATGTAATTTGAAACTTGATGGAATCTTTTATAAAGTTAACAAACTTTTGCTTGATACCAAATTCTGGAAATTAGTCTAGTCATAAACGTCCGTAGTCTAGTTATTCCCCTCATGCGTATAATCTATTTGACCATCTGTAAGCTTCGAACGCGTATTTTGTCTTTCATAGCATTATAAAATTTTTCAAAATACGATTTTCCACCTATCATAGATGTAGTACCTCGCATTATTAATTGCTTACCAAGATTCCGACCATTTCTTTTGTAACTTTCAAATTAACAAATTCTAAATTTTAAAAAATTTATACACTACAATAGTGTTCCTTCGGTTTTATAAGTTGGTAAGATATAGATCGTAGGTATTTCGTACATTATAAAAATATTTCCTCGTACTATCGACAGGTATACGTAACACCAAACATTCGTGACAAACTAACCTCTCTGGACGCCGAGATGCGTATGAGCCTGGACGAAGAACGGTACGAGGACAACAGACAAAGGGATCCAAGGCTTCCTCTCCGTCCAGTGTTAGGCTCGACTACATCCAGAAAGGACTCTCTAACCATCCGAAAGAACTGCGGCTCCGACAACGTGTGCATACCGGATCTACAACTGAACGTGACGTCCAACGTTCTCAAGTACCTTCTGGGATCTGGGAAGCGCCTAGAACTGGACGTCCTGGTGCAAAACATGGGCGAGGATGCGTTCGAGTCGACCTACCACCTGAAACTACCAGCCGGAATTGATTACATTAAAGTGGAGAAAATCGAGACGATGGGTGTGCCTGTGCAATGTTCAGCGCCCAAACAGTCGAACAACAACACGCTTCGCTGCGACATTGGGAATCCTTTGCAGAAAAATGGATTGGTCAAGTTCAGGGTACTGTTGCAACCTGTCACGTCCCACGGAATGAAGCCCATCTACGAATTCGAAATGGACGTGAACACCACCAATCCGGAGAACCCATCAACATCTGAAGACAATGCGTACACTTTAAGGTTGCCAATCTGGATCGAGACCGATCTACGTGTGGACGGTGAGAGTAAACCGAAGGATCTGCAGTACAAGCCGGACAATTATACCAGCGAGACCAACGCGACAACCGAGATCGAGTTTGGCCCAGCTGTCACGCACAATTATACGATTCGGAATCTGGGCCCGTCCGACGTCATCGAGGCGGAAGTCTTCCTCATTTGGCCCGCGCAAACTTTAGCTGGGGACGAACTGTTGTACCTGCTGGAGCAGCCGGAAACTTCTGGGCCTATCGCCTGCGAGGGCGCTAACGCGAATTATCTTAGTCTTAAGGTGGGTTGTTTTGGTCTTATAATTCACTGACTATCAATAAGTGGTAGATATTGATACGAGTAGAACGCGATAATTTAGTCCATGTGATTGTGAAACCGCTATGTTGCACCGTTGTAATCTTCTTATAGTAGTTTTCTAAGTCGACTACTCTTTCTTCTTGAAGTCAAAATCTCGAACTTATAGTTCTCTCGAGTTCTGAAATCTGTATCTATTTCTCTAACTCGTTCAATCCCTTTACAGTTGGATCAACGCAGAAGACTGTACTCCCTCCATTCGGATCCATCAGGTGTGATCTTGGACGAATCACAGTCGGGCAAGACGATCAATGTACAAAGAGGATTCGACGCGGAGCGGCAGAAGGCCAACCAGAAAGAAGAAACCGAGATCAACAGCGGCGACAGTTCTAGCATCCAGAAGACTCGTCACTCGACCTCATCTTCGTCCAATGTGGTTACTGGCGAGACCAGGAGGATACAATTATCAACGACCGGCGACAAGCCCGATGTCTTGGTCACCACGTACACGCAAAACAACTCTGGCACCAGCTCGATCAACACCGGAAATCTGTCTGGTAGCAATCGGGGCGTGATCTTCCACACCGAATCCGGTGGTTATGGGGATACTGGAGCTTTGGGCGGTGGTTTCCGCACCGGTGACGAGCCTAGCCTGGGCTCTAGAGTCCCCAGTCTGGAAGAACACTATGGAACTCGAGAGAATCACTCGGAGACGATCGAGAGTCGCTGGGGTGAGACCAGCGTCTCTGGAGGCCGCACCGCTTCCAGCTCGTTCGACTCTGAGCTGACTGAAAGCGAGAAGAGGTACCAGGTGTTGAGGCAGCAAGAGGAGCAACGTCGCCAGGAGGAAGAACTGAGGAGACTGGAAGAGGAACAGAGACTGAGGAAACAGGAGGAACAGCTCGCTGCGCAACGGCAGCGAGAGGATCTGGATCGTCTGCTTTATCAGAGAAGACAGGAGGAGGAACGGAGGAGATATAAGGAGGAGGAGGAACAGAGAAGACAGCACGAAGAGGAAGAAACACGAAGGAGGTTGGAAGAAGAAGGGATACGAAGACGCCAAGAGGAAGAACGAAGAAGACTGGAGGTGCACGAGCAGGAAAGACGTTACGGTGTCTCCTCTGGATCAGAGAGCGGATTCGTCACTGGGGATCGAGAGGAGACCGTTCGAGGCGGTGAACTAGGGTTCCATCTGCGTAACGTCAGCTCGGCGCAAGAGCTGGAGACGTTGTTTGGATCCCTGTCGAAATCGTCCAGTCACAAATTGTACGACAGACAGGGCAGGCACTATGTTCAGTTCATGGGTAGGTTTAGGACTTCTGCGGATAAGAAAGAGTATATCGAGTTCCAAGACGGTTCGATGTTCCCTCTTCAAAATCGTTATGGGGATACCAGCTACGTCTCTGAAGCTACCGAGTCTCGGGACAGTCGATTCTTGAGGATAGAGGGTGAACTTCTGGTTGACTCCCATGGAAAAGGTTTCATCGTTCTGAAGGACAGCCGCAGGTTTCCTTTGCAAGGCTCGTTCACGTACACCGAGGAACGCTCTTACACGTTGGGTGATCCACGTGGAAGTCAGCAAGCCAGGGGTAATGATTACGAGTCGAAGGGGTATAGCAGATCCTGGGACGAGGATTCCAACCACACTGGCGATGTAGACTATGAGTCCAGGTACACCAGTACTCACGTAGAGAAGAAGACAGAGGATAGGAGAGTCAGCAGCAGGATCCATGGAAGGGACAATCGCGAGACGTTCGATGAGACTAACACGCAAAGTGTAGGCGCTGGCGCCAGGATCAGACGTGAGAGCGACGTGATGGAGGTGAAGGAGTTTAAGAAGTTCGAGAGGCTACACAGACGTCCCAGGGACCTGGAGAAAGATCTTCTCGCGGAGGAGAGTGAGTTGAACGGCAAGACTGATTATGACAGTGATCCTAGGACACAGGGACCGGCCAGTCCTTGCGATACCGCCAGGTGTGTCATGTTGAGGTGCGTTGTCGGTCCTCTGAAAAAGGATCAAGAGGTCTGGATCGGAGCCAGATACAGGGTCGACGCGAGGACCTTGAAGAAAGTGGCCGTCCAGGAGTAATTAAGACGAACGTCGAGCCTAGCATAACACCATCTGCGCCAGATGTTATTCCACTGTGGGTTGTGGTTCTATCTGCTTGCGCCGGAACGATCATCCTGTTGCTGCTTATTTACCTGCTACACAAGGTTTGTTTATGCAAATTATGTAGGTTGTGTCATATATCAGTCAGGCTGCTCGCTCGAGAGATTACGTTTATTTGTTGTAGAACAACTGTGATAGTCACTTTAGGTGGCTAGGTTTAACAAATTTGTTTAGATAATTTCTAATTCGTAGATAGGGAAGTCTTTAATGAGGATTCTTTATTATTATATGGAGTGTTGGTAAAAATTGTTTTAACATTTATATGAAAATTCTACAAGGTTTGTTTATGCAAATTATATCCAAAGTATCATCTACGAAACAGGTTGTTCGATGGAGAGATTATGTTCATTTGTTTTGTGGAGCAACTTTGATAATTTTTCGATTCGAAGGTAGAAAAGTCTTTAATAAGGATTCTTTATTATTATACGCAGTCTTGATAAAAATTGTGTTAACATTTATATGGAGATTCAGTAGACGTTAAAATACATTCAATTGCGCTGTATAAGATACAACGTGTTAACATAAAGTTGATTTACCTGTTATTGGCATTAACTTATTCGTATTAAAGTACACAATTTTTTCGTATTTTAGTCAAATATTATAATTATTAAAATATGTTTCATTTTTGAAGGAAATTATTGATGTGAAACGAATGTCTCCAAACTATCACTAAACTTGAAATTAGATGCAAAAATCAACGAAGACTATTCTTGTGTGTAGCTGTTAAAAAGAACGACTTTGTCTAACTACAAAACCCAGAGAGCACACGACGCCTTGAAGACTAAAATAGGCGTCTTTAAGGCGTCATGTGCTATCTGGGATTGTTAGTGTCAAGGAGCCTTCGAACACTCATCAAGGATTTACTGTAATTCTCTGAAGATTAATTTCTTTAACATTTTCTGTATTAATTAACGAACACTATAGACTCCTTTAAACGTTATTTTCTTAAATATTAATAATCTTAATAAAATTTTAACCCTTTTTTAATTACTACAGAAAACGTTAAAGGAATTGATCTTCAATGAGTTATCACAGTCAAGTCATCATAACTTTGTTCGTAAATTAACCATGCAGTAATATTAACCACGTATGTCATTTCTGTTAATAGTGCGGATTCTTTAAGAGGAACAGACCATCCGACGCGCCAGAGAGGCAACCGTTGAACAGAAACGGTCACTTTCACGGGGACGATCACTGAAACATAAATCAAGGAACGATCAGTGGATAAATCCTCACGAAACGAAAATCGTCGAACGACCATCGATCAATCGAACGAGCCACGAAGTGCCTTAATCCTCGCGGATCCCTCGAAGGATCGCGATTATACGTCCGTTGGGTCATATGGAACTATAATATAGCCCCGCCCACGTGTGTCACAGATAAATTTTAATTAACGATCGCTGACACCATAATCTCCAGGACTCGAAAGAAATTACCGGAGTGAATCGGATTGGTTCTGGAGCGATTCTGCGACAATTTTTACTGCCAATATACTCCTTCCAGCTCCTGCAGCTCGACCATGCAAGTTTCTAGTCAGGAGACATTTTCTTTTTATTCGATTGTTTTCTTCCTCTTCTTTTTTTTTAACCTGTAATATTTACTTAAGCCTCCCGTTCGTCGACAAGAAGCGAATAATGAACTCGACGATCGAATCGTCCACGATACGCACAGTGTTGGATGGATATTAAAATCGTTCACCAAAATGTCTTCACGCATACAATTCTTTCGTCCGTTCGTAACGAAAAGTTCGTTGATCGAAGCTTTTGCGACAAGGAAAATGTAAAAGAGAGATCTTTTTTATCTACAAGATTATGATCTTTCGCCTGAATGCATTTCAGAAGTTTGTACAGATGATATTTAAGCCTTGAACGTTTCGAGAATGAAACGACAATGAGGTGCAATTCTTACCGAATAATATCAGAGTAGCTCGAATTTTGTACAGATTCCTTTCGATTATCGTCTGGCTTGTTCTACATGATTATTGTCCAGGCGTTATCTCCACCACAGGAGGGGATGGGGTGTGTGTGAAACCTGTCAAGCGTATACTTTGTTGTCCCTTCGCTTTTTTTGCTCGAGGCTTGGGCTTCTGGCAAAAAACGAATTTACGAGGATCTGAAGCATTTCTCTCTATACGATTATTGTCCTGGCGCAGACCCAAGTTCGGGACAATAATCGAGAGGAGTCTGTATTTCCGAAACCTACAGGGTGATACGTTGTTGGTGTCCCGCCATCGATGGTAGAGTGCCTTTGCAATGAAAATTGATCGAATGGCATTAGAATGGTGGTAAAACCAAAATAAATTGTTTTCTTATAAGGCGCCAATTTCGAATGAATAATTCGTGTGTTCCTAGTAAATTAAAAACTGCAAATAATGTTTGTTCAGTTTGTATTATATGTGTACATGTGGTGACAAAACTTCATGTTTTTTTCTGTGGATTTATTAAAAATAAGCAACATGTAATAAAGCATAACAAAACAATAAATATGAGGTTTTGTTGCAATGTTCATACACGAGACACCCTGTATACTTATTCTGCGAGTATTACTGGTGGAATATTTGGAATATTAATCGATTAATTTCATATTTTTTAACGTAAGGATGTTTGATCCGCCCGAACATTTCGACGACACGACATTTTGCTACCGACAGATCTCATTTGTTGCCGATACCGGTAAGCGATTTCTTTTTCGCTTCCCTTTTTTCTAGTAAGGAAACGAACTCGAGAACGGGAATCTTTGATTATTTATTTAAATTTCTACGTTATATATGTACATGTAACGTATGATATAGCGCCGTAACATGAACGGGGCCTTGGACCCCTCCCCCTGTGTATGTGTGTACAATCTTGTAAATTATTAATTGTATTACTAAAACTATCCACATGGAAACTAGCTAACGCAATAATGATTATGTAGAAAGTAAAATGAAAAGAATTCCTGCGAAATACGGGAAAGTAGAACTGACTTGTACATACAGACTTAAGATGTAATATTAAATAATATAAATAATATTATTAATACGAACAGTTTGAGTTTTCTTTTTCCCTACTCATTGTACACTTACGAATGTGAGGATAGTCGGTTTTGAAGGAACATATTTTTGAATTATAGGTAAAATTGCATAAATGCTAGGATCAAGCAGTGCACATTTAAAAACATATGCGCTCGATTGCCTAACAATGTACGTTCAAAATTGTGAACAATGAAGAAACAAATAACTTCCTTAAACCTGTGATATACTTCGTCTGTGACTTGTATATCCCTTTAAACTATAAAATACATTTTGAGGTTTTAAACATACATTTGAAAAATTGCTGCGTGTTCTAGATTAAGTTTATTGACCTGATTTTGTACCACGGCCGTACCAGTTATTTTGGCCCTTCAAGGAAGATCTAGCCGAGAAAAACAATTCATTTTGGCCTAAGAAAAAAACAAAGTGGTACGTAGTTACCTACGCGTGATACCTGTAACGGTCGACCGTCCGTAATATCTCATCCCCACTTTCCGCATGGAACGCGCAGCAGTCGAAAATTTTTCGCGTCTCACACTTTTTCTCTCTCTTTGTTACTAACCTCTTGTATGTGGCAGGCATCTGACTTAGGTCTTCTTTACTGTGCATAATGTTAATTTATTTACTGTGAATATGATTAATTTATTTACTGTAATTTGCTTACTGTGCATATTGTTTATTTATTTACTGTGCATATTTTTAATTCATTTATTGTCTATTTACTAGTTTAATGTAATTTATTAATCTATTCGTCTAACTGAATTTTACTAACTGTATTCTATGTGTATTGTATAATTAAAAATATTCTTCCAATCAGTTAATTCCATCGAACGAAGACATCGATCAACGTCTACATCCTCAAAGCTTCTACTACTATGTTAAGTTACAGTAAGTTAGACTTAAATCATAATTAGATATTCATTTTTCCAATGTCAATTACATATTCATACTTCAAATCATCCTTACATATTCATCGCGTCGTAATTAATAGACTTAAATTGAAGCCATCCATTGTGCATACCAAGCTATTATTAATTCGCTCTGCTCGTTGATTATCTACACAGACTACAGGCAGTGGTCCGTACACTAAGACTGTTTGCCGATCCCTAACATATTTAGAAGCGGCCTGAATCTCAAGATGCAAACGTCATTTGCGAATTGATATTTAAAACTTCTGCGTACAATATTTTATCAGAAGTACACTGTGTATTTAGGCAAGTGTATTTAGGCTCTATCGCCTTCTACTCGATAGAAATTACTATATTAGAAAGAATTAAACTGCAGGTAACCCATCCCGAATTGACGTTACACGGTCCTGAAGCAACTTAAGCGTCCCAAATTACAGTTTCAGCTACCGAAACGGAGGTCGTTTTGCAACTTAATGATTTTATGGGGACAGAATATCGTGCCCATCGCCTTTACTCGATGCGGAGAAAAAGAGCGGAGGGTAGACTGTGTGAAAGGGAAACTGGTACACTGGAATACACTGTGAGGAATTAAGTAGAAGTAGGGTGAAGGAATGAGGAGATGGGAACGAGAGGTAAAAGAGATTGCGAGGGAGACAGGGAAAGGGTTAGAGTGACGAAAAAGGTCGCAAGATGATGGGGAAAGGAGAAATTAAGTAGCGAAGAAGTAGGGAAGAATGAAGGAGAATGGTATATAGATAAGGAAGAAATAAAGGAATTAAAGAAAATGTATGAAGTGATGTATGAGTTCTATATGAGTATAGAAACTAGTATAGAAATTGGTATAGGAAGTCATATAATGCCTTAAGGTGAACATTACTAAATAAATAAATAAATAGATATTTAAGCCTACCTTTACTCAATTTATACAAATACCACTGCAAGTGTATTGTAAAGTTGTATACATAAGTAGTATTTAAAGCTACTTTTGCTAAATACATACAAACATTATTATAAATGTATTATAAAATCGTATATATAAGTAGTATTTGTAGCAATTGTTATTAAATTTAATCAAATACTATTGTAGATTGTACGGTTTCTTACGACTTTCTCAATAAAGCAGTCAATAAGCACTTAATAAATTTTAAGTTAAATTTGGCGCGAAATTTGAATTTCACAAATGACGGGAAAAGTGCAAAATCGGGAAATTGTCAAAATTACGGTAGCCACCTAGTGGCGGAAATTGGAACTAAATACATAACTTCTTGATCTAGTTCCAAAAGTCGTCACCAGATGGCACCACATTGAAAATTCTAGAATTAGTGTCAAAGAATATTGCAACCACCGACTAGGTATAGAATAGACCTATCATCCAATGCTTTTTTCTGTCCCACGTTCATAGGACTACGTAGCCCTGTTACCATTTTAGTGTCAATATCCGACGTTACCGATAAAGCATGCATTCTGAGTATTATTAGCACAAATGAAGTGATATATATATTCCATTCATATTACGTGTATCTATATGATTTCACGAGAATAAAAATATCCGATGCTTCAGATTAAGGTTAAAGGGGGAGACTCCTTTGGGGCCAACTCCGAATCGATCGAAGCGCTGATGTAATCAATCGGACACTAACGAAAACACATAATCGATAATTGGAACAGCTTAATAATATGACATCTAACGGCAATACCCACAAATAAATTTTGTTCCCCATTACCATCAAGTTGGGTTTGTGTATTTACTACGCGAAGACAGTGTTGCCTGACAGTATCGATTTTT